CTGCGGCAAAACACCTTCTCCACCAACCAACCAACCAACCAACCAACCAACCAACCAGCCAACAAGAACAGGAACCAAAACAAGCGACGAAGCAACAAGGTTTGCAAGGATTGGCGTCAAACAACAACGAAAGAACCTGTATTTACCACTTGTCCATTTATGGCGTTCATGGGGCCTTTCATTGGATTTGCAATCATGCCGAGTTGCAACGCAGCCAATCAGTGGACACCAACGCATGACCCAGGCAATACGTGGTCTGTCAGAGGGTGCCAGCGGTCGACGAAGGCCAATTTCCAACTCTGCACGGCAAACCACGTAATTGAGGGCAGGGTGCGCCAAGTAGTTGAAGACCCAATTTTGATGGAAGCCCTTCTCTGGTGCAGTGAGTGGCAGGAAAAGGACGGAAAATGACAGCATCGGCAGAAGGACAATAATACTCATCAAGAGCTTCACCGAAGTCGTCCTACGCCAAGCTGAACTTGGACCATCAATACAGTGGTCCTCCAAATACATTTGCATCGAAGGCTCGACCTGGGTGATGCAAATGTACTCCCAAACTCGTGTTTCCAGCTGGTTCATTTGGTTTTGATCCGTTTTGGGGTTTGCTCCATCTCCTGTGAAGTGGCGCCGCTTTATCGGCAGGATAAGGCGGGGTCCAGTTTGAAGAATGGAACTTGTGCACCAAAGTGAGGAAGCGAGCCAAGGACCATCAAGGACGCTCCTAGAATGAATACGAGCGGGAACTCTAACATAAGGAGGGATATCATTCATGCCAGGCAGCTCCTTCTTGAAAACCTATCCTTTCCGAAGAATCTCCTTGGCTCTTCTTCAGCGTCTTTGAAACTGCATAGGTGCTGGTCCGGATCCTCAGTTCACCCCATTGAAACATGAACATCCTGAACAAGTCCATATTCTGTATATATATATATAGTCCATGCATGCCTTGATGGATGTGGCCCACACCCATTTTTTCTAAGGCGGCCCCCAATCGTCAACAGCAATGTGAAGAGCTGAAAGTGGAGTGCTAGCCAAAGGCACTATGCTAGCTGAAGGTGTTGCCAACTCCTGTTTTCCATATGTCACCGGCAAACAATCACAACACCACCCCAAGAAAAGCCTGTTTTTCATGTCAACGTTAACAAATGTTGAGCCGGAGGAAGCTAGTGCCTTCAATCAAAAGGGAGCGGATCCAAAATATCCATCAAATCTTGGAAAATGACAGGAAAACAGGAAAGGACCCTTTGTCAAATGAGCAGTTAGCATGTACAAACCGAATCCCACAAACTGCTTGAATGCAAGTCAAAAGTCTGCGAGTTTTTGCTGATTTGCCGCTGCCCTGGAGTGTCCACAACCGAACCTGCTCCATACGAGGGCATGAGGCCGCTAATGCTCAATCGACAATTGGCAGCTCCAGGCTCGTGCATTTGCGGAGCGGAGATCCTGCGGTCTTCCACATCATCGCGTTCGCTCTGATGTTGCGACGCATGGTCGGGTACCTTCTCTTTTTCTGAATTTTCCTCTTGGACGTCACATTCTTCTGAGATCTTCACCATCAAACAGCCGGGGATGGAAATGTTGTCCTCACCCATCAGGATCTTGTCTGGTTGATCTGCCAACTGATTGCTGCCATAGACTTGCGGCATCAAATTGGCCAAATCAGATTCGGACAGTCTTCGAACTTCGCAATCCCCTTCCAACGGACTTGTAGGTGGGGAAGTCGAAGGCCTCGCTGGAGTTGAAGGTGCCGAGGCGCTGCTCAAATACATCGGATTCGGCACGCCGACGTTGAACCTGGCGACAGCAGTGATTTGGAGAGATTGAAAACAGGCCTTATTGTAAGTTCATTCCAACCTGAAGAATCCAGCACTCGGAACATTTACAATGAATGACCTCGGCCGTGCATCATCATCAAGCACCCCAGCTGGCTGCAATTCCTTCTGTGGTGCCTTAGGCACGACGGCAAGGAAGTCTGCCATGACCACATGATCAATGATCCAAGGGAACCCTGAGCCAAATTGACGGAAAATTCTCGATCGCGCCCTTTGACATCCCCACACAGACTGCCAGTGAAGCTGTATCTGACCAACATTTTTTGCTGCTAGCTAATACCTACCAAGCTCAAACACCATGACACACAACGTACAACTAAGAAAATCCTTCACTAACATGAATTTGTTGCCTCCAAAAAACAACATCTTTTCTTCCGCGGTTTGCAGAATAACAAGTCATGAAACATCGCCAGGGTGACACGTCGCCTTCACTGAACCCATGACCGTAGTTGATTTCAGTGCCCCATGCCATATAACTTCCTGGAAAACCCTAACCTAAACATGCCTACACACCGCCTTGCCCGGCAGGTGCGACAGCGGTTTCCAGCACATTAGACAAATTCCTGGGCCAACGCATGCCGAAGCGATGATTTCACAAACCGCACGGTTTTAGGAACATAGACCAGCATCAACATATCCAATGGTCCAAGGTGTGGACAAGATCCAAGGACATTTTCTGCATGATATGAGGACATATAGATGTTTTTTCAATTGGCCAAGGTATATCTCGACCCGTCCTTGGAAATTACTGCACGCGACACCTACTATAGTGTTGGGATCCCCTCCATGCAAAGGGTCTCTTTCTTCACTTCCAGTTGCATCCATAGATACCTGGTGTCAATGTGGTTCAGTCGTCCTACTCCCAACCGTTCACTGAAAGCTCGACATGAGCTGCTGTCGGTGGCCTTGATCAGCACGGGCCTGTTGCTCAAAAAGGTCCACATGTCCTTCACTTGCAAAGCCTCCTGCCGCTGCCAGAAATTCTGCCACGCAGGAACTCAAGGCAATGCTCTTTTGAGAGCGAGACCAGCGTGTGATGAGGCATCCAGTCCAAAAAGTGAATGTGGAGCTTTTGCACTGCTTTGATCACCATTCCAATCACTATCTGACAGGCTTTCCAGCAAATCCGGGCCACTCAACTCCTCCACCTGTCCTTACTCCGGCACTTCTGGTATGGTAGGAGGAGTCCATACCCTTCAGTTCTCTTCAGGTGCAGGTGCAGGATCAAATGTTTCACCTCCGCCATGGACTGGCTAAGGTTCCTCACACTGTGTTGGATGTCAATCCTGTCCTGGCTGATGTAGAGCAATGTTCCAAGCGCCGACCTGAACTTGAACAGGTCTTCTCCTTGTAGGCAATCTTCAGGAGGTCCTTCTAAGCTCACCTGGGTGCTCTCAGGTGTTGCGCGGCCAACTCTATGATCCAACTTGTACAGCCTTATCAGGCTTGGGATGTACTTCTCATGGGGCATGATGACAATTCCAGGGCCGTGAAGTAATGTCTCTTCTTCAAGCACCGAATCGGCTCATCCTCCGCCTGATCATCCTTTGGGAGAATGCCTGACTCACTCAGGACAAACTTGCTCCTCATCGATTCCAGCAACCACTCAACTGCCACAATCCAATCGTCAACATGACAAACAGCATGCAGCTAGGGGTTTCTCCTCATGTCTGAATACGGAGGGCAAACTCAAATGACGATGGAAACTAAGGTCCTTCACATGAAAGCTCAGGTGGTCACACCACCTTGCCGCAGCATCGCGTTGTCCTGGAAGACACTTGAGAAGCGTCCAACGTCGTTTCTTGGATAGAGCTTCTCCATCTCCTCAGGGTTCCACCAAGGAGGTTTCTCTCTCAACCAAAACCAACTTCACTTGGTCTACCAGGAGGAAGGCATCTTTCACGTCAATGAGGGTCAACCTCCACCACAACAGGGTGTGAGCTGCCATCAACAATCTTGTAGCATTCACCGAGGATGTTGGAGCGAATGTCTTCGAGTTCGAGCTGTCTCCTGCTCTGAATTGACGGGCCACAAACCGGCACCTCCTCTTCCACTTGGTGCTACATCGACAACCGGAGGCTCAAATGACCCTGTTTGTTGCTCATGCATGTATCCAGACCGTGTGCCATCGGGGTTGAAGTGCCACAGTTTGACGTTCAGAAGCATCCCACATAATAGGTCCCTCAGTGGTCGTGCAAGGAGGTCTCTGGAGTAGCACGCCAGGGGCTTGTCCTTGATGGCATGGTGTCTCAACATAGATCTGCTGGTGTCATCTATGCCATATCGAGCACACAATTAATGTCGTGGACTTCAAGCTGCGAGAAGTTGTTGCGGCCTCGCTGTCACTGACTCCCAAGAAGCCATTGATCATGGAGGATACCTCGTCGGCGCTCAACGGCCTGTTGGTGAATCCTCCAAGAGGTGGGTGCACGACAGGTGGATCCAAAAGGCTCACTCACGTCCATGAAGGAGATCGAGCTGAGTCTTCCAAGCCAAAGCCCAGCAGCCTGGTCCACTCCTTCAATCGGTGCCACAAATGGCAGGTATGCTTTCTTCTCAGCACTGCTTGACGTCTTGTGGATTCTTGTTCTACCTTCCACGAAGCCACAGGGGCCGTCTCCTGTATCGATCACATCATAAAAGAAGCTTTGCATGGAAGCCAGATCTGCAAACCTCGCTCCTGAGCACAACTGCAAAGAGTATCCAGCCAAGTTGCATCCAGCCAAGTCTCGGTCAAGAACCTTCTTGGCGCATGCCACAGTCTCCAACTTCTTCACCTCTTCTACCGTTGGTTGGGTCTCAAGCTTGTTCAGTATAGGGTCTCTTGTCGAAAGCACCCTCAGGACTCGGCCTTGCAGCAGCGGTCCCACGACAATCTCGACATTGAGGTTGGCTCTCATGACGAACCTGAAAGACTTAAGGGCGTGCACCAGGCTCTTTCCAATGAACAATTGCTTCGGCCATCACGCTCGCATCGTTCAAGATAGTCCAGCAAGTCTTCCCCTTGCAAGGGCCACTTGGTGTGAAGTCCTCTCGCACCAGTTGACCGCCAACGCGCCAAGGCTCTCGTCCACTTCAGCTCTTGCGCCTTCTTGCAGTCGGAGTCGCACAGGGTCGTCACATGCTTGGCAAACATTGGAAGATCCTCGCTGGACCAACCTGGAGGGGCACCTCCATCCTCTTTCTCAGCATCCGGTTGAGGGATGACAGGAAACGCAGGTTGCGGGATCATGTCTGTACCCACTGGCAATCCCAGCGCATCTCCATCTTCAAAGATCTGCCCAAACGCACCTTCCTCCCATGGAAGCTTTGGGATTCCCGCATCGATGCTCATCAGGTTGTTCTCGAAAATCACCCGGTCGAAGTGTGTCTGCGCCATGCTTCCGAAGCTGTCCTTGAACTCAGGGATGAAGAGCCAATGTACGCCACTCGAAGAAGCAGCTCCAACATCATCAACCATGGCCCCCCCTCCAAAATTGGACAACAAGAAAGCGGTTACCCACCCTCCACTCCCTTGAAAGAAAGGAACTGCGAGGAACACAAAGGATCAAGCACGACGACCGAATGCATGCAAGCTTGTTTTCCAGACACATGTAAAACAAGAAGGCTCATTGCCCATATAAATTAAATAGTTCGTTTGTCTTCGCGAACTGCCTACATAAAGACAGTATCTTCATAGTACACTTATTTCGTTCAATATTTCTATGGTGCCGCGGCGCCGCATAAATACCGGCAAATTAAATTCAAATTGTTCGGACCCTGGAATGGACCAACAAATATTTGTTTTGTGATTTAAAAGCCTATCACCGCCCCCAGTCTGAGGCTGAACACCTTTTGTCTCCAAAGTCTTCCATTCTCAGGGCCACCGCCCCTACTCAGTCTGCAATCAGTGCATGGAATGTGGAAGAGTCGAAATGCTGACACCAGCTATTGTCTTGCTTTGCAAGAAACTGCAAAAGAGAGACCTTGTGACCGAAGGAAGTCCAACAATATCAACAAATCATAATACCTACGGTCCACGGGAATTGGCTATCTGAACTCAAAGTTGCTCCTCTTGCTGCAAAGGCCTCCAGGCTATCATGGAATATGTCCCTCTTAGTTGCAACAAACCTAACTCCAAACAACTTGAGAACTTGCCAAGCACTTGACACCTTGATCCAATGAATTACCCTTGCCCCTATTTACCCACGCTTTACAAATGGAAAAATCAACTCCGAAGATCAAAGTCTGGAAGGGCTAGGAAAGTCAATATTCTTGAGGCTCTCTCAAGTTGTTGGAACCTAAATGTCGAGACAATATTCCAACATCGCGCCAAAGTGCACCAAACTCTTGGTGGCATCCATGCAGAGTTTTTTTGCCATCCGCAACACATGCGCCTTTCCCAACTTCCAAAAACACGCAAAAACAACAAGTGTATGTACTTCGGAAGTCTGCCCTGCATCATGCCACATGGGTGTCTCATAACAAAACTGAAGGAGACCCTGGAATGTGCCACCCATGTGCCTTTCTGAAAACCAACCTCTAGCTGCTACTAGTTAGAGGCCTTGGCCGGCCATTCTCAGGGTCACTGTCTCGAGAATAAAGTTCTAATCAAGTCAAGGTCGTGACCACCATGACTGATGAGCACCGTCAGCCAAGCTACACAACCAGTGCCCAAACCAAAAACCCAATACGAATAGTTCTCCAGCAGGACGATTCCTCCACGCATCGCTGCAAAGGAACAAGTGAACACGGCGCTTGTGTCAGACCCTTGGTTGTGATTCGACCTCATGTCCTTCTTGTCACCATGAATCAAGCGGCCCAAATCTGCTTTAATATTAATTCGAGTCCCTGATCTGAAAAAGCACGGACTGAAGATTCCTGAAGTCCTTGTCCTCCTTCTGGGTGAACATGGCACTGGATCATTTTGGAACCCAGAAACGGATCATTTTGGAACACAGATCGTTTTGGAGCACAGAGGAAAAGAAAAGCTCTCCAGGACTACAGTCTGACACCAGTTTCGCGGATCATTTTGGAACACACATCCTTCGGCAGTGCTTCGAAGGCATCATTTGCTATGAAAATAAGTGTTTTTCGAACGAGACTTCCTCCAAAAAATGAGCCGCGCAAGTCTCCAGAACGAGCATTCCGTACGAGACTTCCTCCAAAAGTGAGCCGCGCAAGTCTCCAGAA